ATGCATTTCACGTTCTTTCTGCGCAAAATTGAGTTAACGATGTTATACTGAATATGGATAATTGTTTTCGAAGACGGCCCTGACTTTATAAATTAATATTGTATTATTCAAAAAAAAATAGGAACCAAAGAATCGGTTGTAACATTTTTATAGTCATCCATATAACTTGATTACAAATTACCAAGTTATGGTTTATTGATAATATCCAATGGCTTTCATACGTACCATCATCTCGGAATTCACCTGTACCTTTGTTTGCAAACTCGGATCCCTGGGACAGAGACATTGGTTACGTGCCTCCCAAAGCTCCGTATGACCCTCGGTGGCTAATCACCGGAAAATTGGAAAATGAGAACGATCCCGATAGTTGGATCAGTGGATTCTTTGATCGTGGTTCTTTTGTTGAAACATTAGCCGGATGGGCAAGGACAGTGGTAGGTCTCATTACATTTATAATGGCTATATGTATGTTCGTGTAACATTTGAGTACGTGATAATTTAACGAAAATTCTTTTTTTTTTTTTAAAAAAAAAAAAAAAAGGTGGTTGGTCGTGCTCGACTTGGGGGTGTTCCTATGGGTGTGATAGCGGTGGAGACGCGTACCGTAGAACACGTAGTTCCTGCGGATCCAGCAAATGCCGAATCTCAACAAGAAGTTATGATGGAAGCAGGGCTGGTTTGGTATCCAAACTCCGCCTACAAAACTGCACAGGCAATTAACGACTTTAACAAGGGTGAACAATTACCACTGATGATTTTTGCAAATTGGCGCGGATTCTCCGGAGGGCAACGCGATATGTTCCTCGAGATACTGAAATATGGCTCATACATAGTTGATGCGCTGACAAACTATAAGCAGCCCGTATTTGTTTATATAGTACCGAACGGAGAACTTCGGGGAGGAGCATGGGTTGTGATAGATCCATCGATTAACAAAGATATGATGGAAATGTATGCAGACACGAAATCTAGGGCAGGTGTTTTGGAGTCTGAAGGAGTGGTCGAGATAAAGTACCGTAGATCTCGGATAATTGAGACAATGGAACGCCTTGACGAGACTTATCGCAATCTTAAGAAGTCTTTGGATGATCCAACAATTTCCGAAACGCAGAAAATAGAAATTAAATTGCATCTAGAAGCGCGCGAACAGGAGTTGCTTCCCGTCTACTCACAGATTGCCCTACAATTCGCAGACCTACACGACACCCCCGGAAGGATGAAGGCAAAGGACACGATACGTAACATATTAGAGTGGAAAGATGCTAGGAGGTACTTTTACTGGCGTGTGAGAAGACGTCTGCACGAAGAATATATATTTAGAAAGATGCGCGAAGCCGATTCTAATCTCACGAGAGTCCAAATGAAAAATTTACTCGTTGAATGGTTCCACGGTGACGTGGGATCAAATTATGATTGGGAAGAATCAGATATGGAAATTGTGAAATGGTTTGATGAAATACTTAATGTTGCCAAGCCGAATGACATCAAAAACAATGAAAGTGCTAATGTTTCGGAATCCTCCAAGATTCCTTTGTCAATCAAATCGAGAATCGAAAAGATAAGAAATGAGGCAATAACTCGATGTATCGTGGATATGGGTAAGAAAAATCCGGACGCAGTCTTTGCAGGAATATCGGAGCTCATTAAGGATTTGGACGATGATGAGAGAAATAATTTATTGAAGAAATTATCCGAAAACATAATATAATACTTCAATGTACATTTAATGTATTGTATAAGTAATTCAATTATTTTAAGAGGAAGTAATTACTAGAATTTGCATGAAGTTGTCTGTTGATGCTTTTATATTTTCACACATTTAAGCATCAAAATGTATATTGTATACTTAATATATATATATATTTTTACGAGTACTTTTCATTAATACCAAATTTTTAATAAAAATTTATTGATTTCCATGTGCACAAATAAATAAATTTATCTAGGCCGAAAAGATTGTATGGAAAGGCGTGGTGAATGTAGTGCTTACATAGGCAATATGAAACTACTCGGTTTATTAAAGAAAAGTTTCGGTTACCCATTGCACTTTTGTGCGATGCAAGATCTAAACGACCGAGAAAGAGAAAGCAAAAGTACATAAAAAGTAAACGAGAAATGGAAGATTTGGTTATTTTATAGCTGAGAATATACGGGCATTGCATTAAGTTCGTACGTGTACCAAACAGGTTAATTTATTTAATGATTTATTTAGATATCCAAATTACTAAGTGGTGGGTTGGTGACGTGAAATGTCTATCTAGTCAACTAACAATACTGTACATTAGATATAAAAAATAAGAAAGTTAAATTATTTTATCGTTTTTAAGTTCATAAAATGCATTTCACGTTCTTTCTGCGCAAAATTGAGTTAACGATGTTATACTGAATATGGATAATTGTTTTCGAAGACGG